AACCCCAGACACATACACACCTTATTACACAACTGCATAGTAGTCCCTAGAGACATTTTAAGGCCTTCAAAGTCAATGAAACAAACCTAAAATGTCACGTAAGACCGAGTCTAACAATGTAGTTTCTTGAAGTCCAAAGGTTCCCTAAAGAGCATTTGCTGTACTTGTCAATTCAAATAACATCAAATGCCTACCTACCTTCAAATCACTCTGTATATTTCTACCATATATAATCTTCTCTAACAGAACACTATCTGCAGCAAACAGTGCTGCAAGACTTTTTTTTTCCACCGATCAGAATCTGAACTAGCTTATGTGCAGTCTGACAGTAGCCTGAAACCTCAAGATTTCCTGCCCCAAAGTCTTAAGAACCTTGCCTGAAGACAATGTAGTACTACAATGTAGTATTACTTCTGCATCGTATTTTCCCATTACATCTTGCATTAGAATAAGGCAGTATTTGGTTTGCAGACTTAACATACACACAAAGGCTAAAGTATTTAGTGATTAGGAGAGGTCCCTGATGACTAGAGAAAAACAGTTTTAATGCCTGTCTTCAAGAAGGAGGATCTGAGAAACTACAGGCCCATCAATCTAGCCTCAGTCCCCAGGAAGGTTACAGAGCAAGTCTTCCTGGAAGCCATTTCCAAGCATAAGAAGGATAGGAGGATGACTGGGAATGGCAGCATGGATTTACTAAGGGCAAATCATGCCTGATAAACATGGTTGCTTTCTACAACAAGATGACTACCTGTGTGGGCAAGGTGAAATCAGTGGATATCATATGCCTTGACTTTAGCAAAGTCTCCCACCAAGGTGGATAGAAAAGTCCAACCAGGGTGCAGTTGGCTAGCCATGTCCCCATATGCTGATATTAGGGCCAATACTGTTTGATGTCTTCAATAAAACTCGGGAAGTTCACATTTTGCTTTGCTTGCACACACAGCTTTTGTTTTCCCTATTAAGCTATCTTTATCTCAACCCACACTTTTTCCTCACTTTCACCCTTCTGATTCTCCCCCCCCATCCCATTGACAGGGAGTGAATGAATGGCTGTGTGGGGCTGAGCTGCCTACCAGGGTTAATCCACAACAACAATTATATGTTGAAAAGGAGGGCTGTTATTTAGAAGGAACTAACAGACTGGAAAAAACAGGCTGACAGGAACCTCGTCAAGTTCAACAGATGCAAACACAAAGTCCTGTACCTGGGACAGAATAACCCTTTGCAACAGTACAGGCTGTGGACTGATGAAAAATTCAGTTAGGTTTAAGAACTTAAAAAAAAAAAGAAGAGTGTGAGTATGGTCAAACACGTGGAATATGTTGCCCAATGGGGTTATGAAGATATCAAAGCTGAACAAGCCTCAGCACCATGATCTAATTGCACCCGCTTGATGCGGGGGGGGGGGGGGGGGGGGGGGGTTCAACCAGATGTCCTCCAGAGGTCCTGTGCAAACCAGGTTAGTCAATAATTCTGACTAATTACAGAAATAATTTTACCTAATCCCCAGAAATAAGAAAAAAAAAAAGACAAGGCTGTCCTACCAGTAATATCTATTGGTTTAAATTGAGACAAATGTTACAACTTAAGATCAGTTACATAAATCCAAAATAAAGTTTCTAGCCTGTGCTTTTAACTATGCAATACAAAAATCCTGTCTAAAACAATGGCAAAAGCAGCATGGTCCAAAATCATAAAATAAGTTCATAAGACAGTATTTTCTATAATTAATCTTTATTCTTCTACCAGCTTAGCATAGTCTTAGACAAGTCAATTCATCCTTCTCTCTTACAGCTAATGTTTTCTACCTCAGAGAGAGCAAACAACAGTGAACTGAACTTGTTCTTCCTATTGCACTGAGAAAGCACTCCTGGATCATAAGACTGATGATTCCTCTAAAGCTGCAACCATATTAACTATGAAAATCAACAGAACAAGAACCAGTTACTTAAAAGCCATAGTAATTGACAAATAGCTCTTAAATACATCCCCCATGTTCTTTGTCCATTAAAACTTACCATGTTTATTGTTTTTAAATGACAGACACTAGGAGACAGGAAAAAAAGATAAATTGAAATGGCAGCAATTATTTCTGCTATTTGATCATTGTATTAGAAAAGATGCATGCTGCATCAACTAGAAATAAAATATGATTTGTTCTGTCTGGTAAATACCGACAAAGGCAGATTTTTTTCCACCACCCAACATACAATTACTGTCCACTAATAATGACTTACAAGTCAAAGATAACTTAAATAATTGAGAACTATGGAAAAACATTTTCAATTTGTCTACTTCTAGATAAACATCAGAAAAAAAAGACTGTGGAATATATTCAAGTCTAATTGTGTATTGGCATATAGGCCTTTAAGAAAGGACTTGCCAAATAGAGCTATGGGTTCTGTAGGCTTTATTAAATACAGCAAACAAAATCCATGCCTAACACAGAAGATGTAGTACTGAGTCATAATACATCCTGGGAGAAAAGCAATATGAATATATACTATACAAACACAGAAATAGCACCCATCAAAATAACACAGGAAGACAAGTGAAGATGGTCTTGCAAACAAAATAAGGAAGCATAACATAACAGTTTAAGACTTGAGCTAACTATATTACAATTTTTTTTTCATTTTCAAGCACTTTATGAATACCAGGTAAGTAATTTGATTTAGTAGCAGATAAAGGCTTTTTTCTTTTCTTCTTCTAATGAAATTCCTGTTTTCAATGGCAATTGCTGCAACTCATTGGTACGAAATGATGGAAAGCAGTTATGTTCAGAAGACCACTCCTTTAACCAATGAAATTGAAACACACTGAATGATAACAGCTTAGTAGCCTTCGTTCTAATGAGAAAATATAAAGTCCTCCATCTTTTAAAACATAAGCCAGCAGACCAAATATGGAGGGGAAAAAACGGACATAGAAACTTTACCTTAAATCTACCTTACATATGCTTCAGATTGCAAATGGTATTTTAGGCAGGGATAAAGCTCATGGGGAGCAATGGTATCAAGGTAAAAGTCACCTGATGCGAAAAGGAAAGGAAAGGAAAAAAAGAAAATTAAAGGAAACACAAAGAAAGGGAAAGGTCAGTTACTTTTTGTGGATGGATGTCAAAGCTATAATTTCAATTATCTTGATAATTTCTAAATAAAACAATATAAATTTAATCCCAGGTTTCCATTCCAAAATGGAAGAACTAAGAAAAAGTCACAGAGAGGGTTATACTTGAAAAGAGATTACAGAACAATGTACAGGAAAGGATTTCTGAGAAAACAATTTAGGACTATTTAGGAAAACAGATTGACTAGTAGATTTTGCAAACAACTAGACACAGTTATCTAAGAGACATACAGATACAGTGTACTTTCAGCAACTTTCTGAACCTGAGCATTTGAATGACAGACACCTAAATACCGTTATTGTTCTCTAGGTCAGCAAGAACTCTGTTTGGTAGTTGGTGCCTTAAAGTCAGCATGGGCTGAAAAACATGGTGTTCTCATTTTGTACTAACCTTAATTTCTTAATAGGTAACAACACTACTGCACAGGAAATAGTCTCCTAACTCTTCATTTTTTCTGATCAGCAGGGCTGGGGGAGTTGGAGAAAAATCTGTATGACATTCAAGAAAAAACTCTGACAAAAAGAACTTTCATCTTAAAAAAACCAACTAAAACATGTCCGTGGTCCTAAAGGCTACAAACAAAAACAGGCACTCCTAGCCTTGATTCTGTCAAACTCTAAGAAATATGAACCATACACACTCAGTTCATTCATTCTGCAAGTTTCATTGGCATGGAAATCATAACTAAAACATTTCCTAATGTGCTATAACTTGCTGAGGTGCAAATCTTGCCTAACTTAAAGTTATATGTTTTTAAACCAAATGAGTTACTCAATGCTGGCATTATAATTGGTATTTCTCAAGCAGCCACTTCCAGGTGATCAGTGTTACAAGTTCAACACATAAGCAGGGATCTTATAAAAAACCTGCTTAACTGACTTGCTATAACCTTTGAACCATGCATTAGTTTAAACAATTATAAGCATATCACACCCCCTTACATATAGATGAGGATAAATGGTACACTAGTGACCACAAGCACTTTCTTATCAGAGTAAGGTTAACAACAGAGGTAAGCAAGTTAACAGATGTAACACAAGTGAACAATTTATACACATATAGGTCATTTCCACCAGGAATGTGCTATAATTTTTAAAACTATTTATAGTTTTGAGAAATCTGAGATTATAAAGAAAGCAAGGGCAGCTATTATTCTATTACCAAGTCAGTTGATAGAAGCAAGGTAGTAAAAAAGTGTATTATGGAGCGAGAGTGCAGGCAAACAATCAAGTTGCCACTTGCCAGAACTACAACAGTGGGCATTCCTAGCTGCTAAAATTGAGATAGGTTGTATTAGTTTGTTTTTAAACTTTGGATGCTTGTTTTTACTCCTACTTTACTATCTGTGTATGTGCTTCTAACACTCTCTGTTATCAGATATAAGGAACAAATAGAAACTCCTAGCTTTAGAACATGACCAGAAAAATATCAAGCAAAGCATATGTAACAGGGAATGCTGCAATCATGGGAAGTCCAAGGGTTGTAAGTTCCAGTGTGAAAGTTCAAGTTCACCTGAAGTTAGAACTGACTGCAGACCAAGAATTCAGTCCTAAGGTTTTTCTGACTTTGAAGATGCACATGCAGATTAGCTATAAGTCTCCTGTCATTCGCTAATGCTAAGATAAGAAGCCTAGAACAGAGCTCCTAACTGAACACTTGAAAGAAATGATGGAAGAGCAATAAGGCTACCTTACACATGTACTAAACTGAAAGAAGATAGGAAGACAGGAAAGAGTAATCAGTTATCACTGTACATGAATGGCTAGGAAGTATGAAATAAGAATATATGAATTCTCAAAATGAAGACTGACTTACAGAAATGAAACAATAAGCAATGTGTAAAACTCCTCCCTTCTCCCACACTTACCCAACTACCTCAACAGCATCATTAAGATAGGGATCAACTATCATCTCCTTTGAAATGTTCCAATCTCCATCCGCAGCGATGATGCCAATGTTCCTTAGACCCAGTCTGTCCAAAGATTGTCGAAGTACCTTAGTAACAGATAACACCACTTAAAGGACAGCCTTCATCAACCAGACAATGTGAAGATTTAAGACTGAAAATAATTTAAGAACTGTAGGAGTTGGTGGAAGCTTTTGTCTTCAGACCAAGATGGGTAAGAAAAGTTCTCACTTCTCAAAGGAGAGCCATAATGACAACTAAGACAAAGTTAATGATAAGTATTTTTAACACTGAAGGGTTATCCATGACATTCAGATAGCCATTACACAAAAATGGGCTTCTCATCACTTGGATTACTTTTGACACCCCATGTGCATACAGGTACTCTACTCGGACACTCTCAACTTAGTGATTCCATCCACTGCATGCATGTAATTCATTATGATAAATCCATTACTCATAAGTAAAGTCAGTCACGTTAAGTTGATCTGAAAATGATGACTGGCTGGAATGTGGAAGTGGACATACCTCCACAAGTGATCAGAAGTGAAAGTTAACCTGATCCCAAAAAAAGTATATTGAGAAAACAGGAATTGAAGTTTTAAAATGCAAAAGACCTTGTAACCACGCAGGTCTCTATAGGAACAGAAATCTTTGCCAAACATCTGTCTTTTTCAAGTGAAGAGCACCTAAGCATTCTTTTCACAGGCTATTTTACTGAACAAAAAAAAGATCCTTGATGTTGTGTCTGATATTTAAGTTTACCCATTACTTGGCTCTCATAATGTCTCGCTAATTTTCAAGAACATAATGCATAAAACTGGAATTGCATATTTACAACAAAGCTGAGGGCAGTCAACTTTGAATTCAAACATCCAGCAGAAGAGAATTCCTGTTCTGTCTTTCCAGCTTCTCCTTACTATTTCACTGTCAAAGATGATAAACCTCTCACATCTGCCTGTGGAACTTCTTAGACAAAATACACCCAGGCAAAATATAAGCAGCTCTAACAGCTAAGAATGAACCAAGGGCTGATGTTATACAAGCATGTTTTATATGAACACTCATATTTAAAAAAAAAAAAATTTAAAAAAGCATTTTCAGCAGCTTCCACATACAGTTGCATCTGAAAAAGGACATCAGTCCACAGTCTAAAATCCTTTTTTCAATCTTGGATATAAAGGAATGATGTACTATGTGCTGTATGTATGCATGCATGCATATATACATAAGAAAGTTTTTTCCAACCATTTGAAGATCAGTAAGCATGAATCCTTAAATAATTTCTTGTAATAGCCCTCCAGCAATGTGAAGGAGAACAATAAGCATTTCTATTTTGACGTGTAGTCAAATTAGGACACAAAGCGAAGTCCAAGTGTTGGTGACAATGAAAGCCTAGATCTAAAAGACAAAAAACTTACTAAGAAGAAAAGTAGCAATGAAACTCTGTTGAACTGCTTGAAGCCTTTGAAGCATAAAGTTTACCACAAGAAAAATTCATAATGGTAAAAATACTTACAGTAAGGTCCTTGCAGTTTAAAGCTTTCTAGCTAGATAGATATTTGGAAAAACTGCCTAACCATAGAGATAGTTCAGAAGAACAAAATTACTAGAAAGATTGCAGAACTTCCATGTTGAAACGTAAGTACCAAGGAGACAGAACCGTAGACACTCAAAATACACTCCATAACAACATATGCAGAATGGTTCCCCCACAGCCAGTATTAAATTTTATATACAGATACTCCTTAAAGTTTAGGGTTAGTTTAAGATGACCATATTTAAAAATATAATTGGAAGAATAGGATCTTCTTGAATAAGAATTTATAAGCAATAGAATCATAATTTCTTTTTTCATTTTTTCTGCTTAATAAGAAACATAACTAGTGTCTTCGTGGATGAACTAACTAAAATAACTTCTTACAAGTAAAAATTTAGCAAGATAACTAAGAGCCTATGTCATGTATTTGTCAGACATTACAGAAAATGTTTGGTGTACATTGGCACACTTCAGTAACTAGACCTTTTTCAAAATGGCGGACTGCAAATAGAACTATTGTGCTGATTAGAGAATAGATACACTATGCAGTGTCACGTGGCAAGAGAATGAATGGTAAAACCGGTGTTAAATAAAAAGCCTTGTATCAATTAATGTACAGTGGAGGGAAGGCTGACAACTTTTCAACGAATACTTGCGTGATTTTAAGATCAAATTTTAAACAAAACATTTAGCTCTAGAAGCCAAAAGCTTAGTCCCAATTCAACAGCATTTAAAAAGCTAACAAGTAGAATGCCACACCTACACTCGACTGTTCTCCACATTCATTCTCCCCACATTAGAAAGCCAAGACAAACAGATGAGAAAGCCTCCAGGTGACATGACATAGGACTGAGCAAAATAGAATGTTTCTATTTCTTACAAGACATACAAAAAGCCAGAAAATCAGTTTTAAAAAAAGAGCCAATCAGTGATATAGGGAAATAAAATGAGTATTTTATTTATATTAAGATCGGCCTTCTCTCTCTGATGAATCTTTTTACAAAGGGTTCAGTCTCACAGGTATTCCAAGCAACATAACATCTAGTCAGTGAAGAGATAAACTTGCAGCTCAAAAAAAAAAACAAACCCCACCAAAACAAACCAAACAAAAAACCTCGCTATTTATCTTCCACCTTCTTTGCACTGTTTTATTCCAGCCTGCAAGCGTTTTCAGTTCTGTTTGGTTTTGTTTCTACAACATACACACTGAACAACTAGAGATTTCTACTTGAAGCCCACACATAGAAACTCTTTCCCCTCCTCCTCTACCAGCATAAATGACCTATGATTAGGATTATCCTTTAGGAGACTACTAGTATCCTTAGTGATTTCTCCATCAGCCTATACCAGATTAGTGAACCACTTTTATTTTTGAAAAAGAAAAGCCTGGAACCCACACTGCCTGAGGCTAAATATAACAGAAAATTTCTAGTTCCTGGGGGGGGGTAATAAAAAGAACACCCTATGAACTCGTTTCCCAGCTTTAAAAACAGTTAGGCTGTGTTTTGTGCTGAGCACACATTGGGATGGGATATTTTAAGAGGATTCTAAGCACACCCACTGAACAAGTTTACACAGGGATTTAAGAGCTTCACTAGCAAAATCTGAAGCATCTCCACCAGAGTTTTGTTACTTAACATGCTGTGGAATAATTGCTGGAGGTGACTTATTGATACCAATCAAAATAAAGGTATGTATGACTAGAGTCACTCAACCTCCACCTAAAAATAAGAAAATAGTATGAAAGGGCTGAAGACAGGAGGAATGCTAGGGAAGATACCATCGTAGACAAGTGGGGAGGACATCGCTGACTTCCAGGATCAGTCGACAGGCTGAACCTCTCCTTCCTCCCATATGGACGCCTACTGGGTAACATTCAAACCCTCGGTTATACTGAGTGCTTCCCCAGGAAACTGAGAAATCTCTGTAGAGTTTTTCCATAATGTAGCACACTTGTAGTCAACTGTACTATTCATATTCTTGGCATTTGCACATGCTTTGCAGACAATGTATTTATCACCGGCAATCCAAAAGAACCTGCTCTCCTGCTTTAATAAACTGTACTGTTCATTAAAATCTAGCCGTGATAGTTTGTCGAACACAACCCAACTTCTTAAGTCTGGCCGTGATAGTTCATTGAACGCAACTAGATTGAAAGTATATTGCGCTATTTGTGCACCCGTAATCGTGGTAGTTCAATATATACTGAATGCAACCGTACAGTGTTGAATTGGGCATCACTCAGAATCTAAGCCTAGCTTCCCCCAGCCCCTCTGATATCTGAGGATAAGCTGGAACCCAAGGGGGTTTATCTTCTGCCAAACTCCTTTACACTTTAGTGCAACACATGCCCAAAGAAATGACACCTTGACATAGATGCCAAGATACACTGCTGTGTCACACTTCAGTGTATTTGTGTTTTCTCTGGAAAGGATTTTGTAAGTCACCCAAAAACTCTAGTGCCAAACCTCTGTGCCCAAAAAGAACTAATGGCCTAGCAGCCTACAAAAGTGAGAGTCTAGAAAATACCTTTAATGAAATTAGTCGTGAGTATACATAACAGAATTTGGTCTAAGATGTGTTGAGACTTGGAAACTAAGTTACTGTGGTGGCAGTGGATCTGGTAAATCAGTTTTAAATACATGGTTGATTAACATATTTGTTAACAAGAAACCCATAAAGCTGGATATAAAGTATTCCTCTTTGTACAAGGTATACAACCAGCAACAAGCTTTCTGCCAATGCTTCCTGCCCTCCCTCAGTCAAAGCACTGCACAAATCATAGGAAACAGCTATAAGGGTATTCATCTAATTCTACATTCTAGGAGATATAATTTTAAAAAAGAAATGTTTTATAGGAGATCATTCTCAGTTTTCAGGAGTAGGCAGAATTTTATATATGCCAGCCTCATGCAAGATACTTAAAAGTTACCTTTTTCCTCTTATTGCAATGTCAATTTTAATTGTTGTAAGCAATTTCCTGTATCATTCTACTAAAACTAATCACTGAACAAAATAACTATAGAAGCTGCCAAGGACAAATGATGTGACTAACCTCATCCAGTGTACACAAACTGTTAGAATTGAAACTTTTCTAATAGCAACTAATTGACTAATTTTAAGCAGATAGGATCAAATCCCTGCTGAGTTCTGAAAAAAAAAAAAAAAAAATCAGCAGTTTTTCTATACACTCAATTTACCTCATTTGCTTTTAAGAAGAGGTAATGCTACTGCTTCTTAGCCTCAAAGCAGCAACAAGAAATGAACAAACCAGAAGCTTGTACTTCACATTCCACTTCAAGATAACATAATAAACAGAAGTGAGTTTTCAAAGAAGAGCAAGGGAGCAGCAAGGGCTGGCAGCAGTGAGAGATGTTAGAGATATCTCAAGATTGGTTAAGTGAAATACTGTGTATTTGATGATGAATTTAATGCTGAATTTGTATGATTTCAGTAGCATCAACTGGAGCTTCCATTAAATTGTAGAGGTCCTAAACATTAGCATACACTGACACACTTAAAGTTCGAAGTAACAGACAGACACAAAAAGAAAAAATAATCTGGAGATCTGATCCTGTTAGCATTCCATGCCTGCAACTACAAGAAACAGAGTTCAGTAAGAAAAGTAGTTTCAGGATTACGGTCCCTTCTCTAGGTAAATTCAGAAAAGCTAATTGTTTACATGTGATAACAAAGACAAACATTTCACTTCAGAGAAATAAGAAAAAATACATACCTTAATATATTTGCTACTAAATGCCCTTTCATTCCATATCTATAAAGGAAAAGTAAAAAGCCATTTAGAAAAATCAGGATATGTCAATACATAATGAAAGATTTTTTTATGTATATGTAAGATCATACAATCCATTAATGAACTCCATGGTTTCAGTTTGCTAGAGGAAAGTGCTCTGGTTGGTTTTGTTATCAGGTCTTCAGAGGAGAATTCTGTATGAAAGTTCAAAATAGCAGCTTGTTTATCTGTCTCTAAGGTCTACTTACTGCCTTCTGGCTGAAAAGACCTCTAGAGCTGCTTGAGCTCTACAATGGTAGCAGCGTTACACATGACATTATTACCAATGGGTCTACAGTGAGTTAGAAATCATTGAGAAACACATTGTGGCTTCAAGGTGTGGTCCTAATGAATGGGCCCTGTTGACATACACTGACATAGGAGAGCTAGAATAAGCTACAGATCGAACAACTGCCTACAGTTTTCGGGGGTTATTCAATGACACTGACAGTTCTCTTTCTAATTTACACAGGATTAGATCTATACTTGAGCACAAGAGAGATTCAGCACAGTTTAAGTAAATAGACACAAAATGATCTCATTTCTTTTGCTCTGGATTTTCCATCTTTTATGGAAAGAGTGTTTAAGCTAAACATAGCTCAAAATTCAAAAGCAGGACTGCTGGTCTTCCTTTCTACCAAATACCCTGGCCAATAAAATGCCTAGTCCAAAACCTTCTTACCTTTTTTTCTAATGACAACACGAACACTGTGACTCACATTCCCCAGTAAAGGTAGAAGTATCCCCGGTAGGTGTAGATTACCCAACCATGTACAAGCAGACAGTTTCTTGCAGGTGGGATATGTCCATTTGATTTTGACATTTCTAGATCTTTCGCTAAGTGCTAATATGTGACTTCAGAAATGAGCCAATCAAAAAGTTACTTACTGAAAGGCTCATTTCATCATAAAGCAAATAATTATATATAACATACGCTATAAACCCAAAGAGCAGTAAAGGCTAACAATGTAGAATCAGAACAGCATTAAAATTTTTTTGACAGTTTCTGCACCTTCAGACCTCACTGCTTTCCTGTATTTCAGATTATACCCACAAAGAAATCGGACAATATGCAATGTCACCACAGTGCCTGTAGAAGCAGTAATTCCCTTTTCTTAGAAGTACAGAATTCAGAAGGCCAATCACTGTGAAGTAACAACACAGAAGCCAGACATTACTCAAAAATGTGAAGTGCAGAACTTGCCTCCTGCTCTAAGAGCACAGCAAGGAGAAAAATTAAGAGCAGTTGTTCTCCCTGTCCCCCACTGGAATTGCTGAAGCATCACTGTGTTACCCAAAATGCAAGACTGACACAGCTGAAATAAATCAGCAACAGCAAGGGGGGTGCATTCTAGAGTAGCTATACATCAGATATACCTTCCCACATTACAGCAGAAAGGTGAGACTTCCTTTGAGGCATGGGAACCATAGTTTCAGAAGCTTTGCTCTGGACTACCAAAGTGATTTTCAGCTTTTCTGCAGTTAAACAACTGTCTCATATCAAAACACTTAAAAGTCCAAAATAAGTGTGTCTGTAAGTATAGGACTGATTTTAGAGGAATCTTAGCAACACATTTTCTTAATCAGAAAAAAAAAAGTTGAATCTCAGTCAAATAATGAACTTGAAAAGTGTTTTTCCACACTGCTTCTCTTTCTCATCTCCAAATCACGACATTTTTCTCAGACATTAATTCACTACTTTCATATATTGCACTGTAACACAATACAGTAGTTATAATGTACTGTAACATATGCACCTTTATCTACTATAAATAATACAGTTAAAAATGGAAGAAATTTTAGAGGATTGCTCTTCTGCAAAACAGCGACCATATTTTATGCCAAGAAGTCACATCAGCTGACTTCCACAAACTCTGTCTTACCAGCTAACAAAAAAGAATTAGTTAACTGCTGAAACCCAAGCAGAACAAGCAATGCAGAAAATTACAAGCCCAAGACTCAAATGGATTTCAGAATTCTCACATTCTCTGGTAACTTTGTTCTAGAACTGAGAAGGCAGGAGACTAGCCATTTTACATTGGTTCTGCTTTAATGGACATTACTGCAGGAAGACTGTAAACTAACATATCTTCTGCCTTTCCCCTTGCACCAGAAAAAGCCAAAACTGCAATCACAAAACAATTTATCTTCCCATTCCCCTCCTCCAGTAATCAACAGAGACACCAAGATCTTAGGAATGAAGATAGATAAAATGTACAGGAGATTTTGCTTTACTGACCCCAATATAGTCAATGTCCAAATCATGATACTGTTTAGCTCCTAATATCCAAGAAACAATATAATAAGCAGTGACATCCGGATAGTCATAGGGCCAGTTTTCACCCTTCCCTATCCATGCTGGAAATGTCCAAGGTAATCCTGGAAAGAGAGAAGAAAAACAATAAGATAAGTGGTTGGTCTACATTACTCGGTAAGCTTCAATAGCAAGCTGTAATTTGTTCTACCTAAAATAAAGGAGCAGATATGCACTTCAAATTCACATAGTTCCAGTGAAGACAATGACACATAACTTATTTAACTGGAAAGTATGCTCTAATATAAATTGTGATCAAACATATCAATAGCTGCCTTTTTTTTTTTTTTAAAGCTAGAAAAATTTCATTACTAGAGAACAACTGACTACATACAATCTTTCAATTGTGTGGTATTAGCTCTAAGGTTTAAAATTCCAAAGATTTTATGATAAAAATTTACAAAGTTACAGACAAAGGATCAATACTGAACACCACAAGTTTTTAATCTCCTGAATATGAATTTTAGAAGTGATGATCTGATCATAAAGAGGAAGAAAGATTAGGATCATGAAAAAGCATTTCTAAGTCTTAGCTCTTTACTGGATCTTGTAGTAAACAAGAACAACAAATTAACCTAACCAGATCATGCTGTTTTCAGCTGATTTTTTATAGGCTAATTTAAAGGCAAACCCTCCTTCCTTTGTTGAGAGCTTCATCTGAAGGAAGAGGGAGGTTATTAATAATCACAATTAGTCATACATGGTAAGCCTACTGCTTGTCACTGTGCCTGTCTAATAGAACCTGACTAGCAAATCCTGCACCAAGTCATGCCTTGTGGCTGGATATGGCAAAGCCTGATCCCTGGAAGAGGGGGGGGGATTAGATACTTTTTAATTGATAGATTTTTTACCTTGTTTCATGTGGAATACATTTTCTAAGTGTTTCAATTAAAATCTAGGGTTCAACATTTGTACTGTCACAGCACACACACAACCCATGATCAAACAGGGAGACAGCAAAGTTCTCTTACGACTCAACTAAATAGAGTAAGACAAATCAGAAGACAAGAACTACTATAGTGGGGAGGGGGTGATGGATTTGTAATAAGAACATATAACTGAATTTAGTGCATATAAGACTTACAGATTCATACTTCCTATAAGTTTACTTTATCCCTCCCAATTTTTTTACTCTATTATTCAGAAATTCAGCTCTCATGATAAATCATTTACGTTCATTGCTGTGATACACTCTAAGCATTGTTACTTAATACAAGCAAATTATTAGAGTCATTTCTTATCCTATGCTACTTGTTAAGTAGGACAACATAAGAATGTTGTGCTACTGTAACAAAGTAAAACACAGTTTAAGTGAAACATCAAGGCAAGCTTACCAAATATTAGAGATTCTTCTTTGTCTACTGCAACATCAAAACATCTGCCCATTAAAATTAATATGCTAATTAAGGGTCAGGAAGGTAATTTGGTTAAGGGGGAAAAAAACCATTTAAAACCTAAACCCTGAAGCTATTTACCAATCAGTTTAATTTTGGGGTTCCTCTTTTTAGCTTCTTTCATCAGCCACCATTCATAGCCCCGGAAGTAGTTCTCATCATTTTCATAGTGCATATGGGAGGGTTCAGTACCATCTAGGAAGCAAAGAGACAGGTAGCTCACAATTATCTTCTATGTCATAAGCTGTTACACATTATAAAGTTTTCTGTATTGCTCACTGCCATAATATGCAAACACGTATCTCCAACATGATTCACATGTTCTTTGGTATGTATTTCAAAGCAAAATGAGTAGTGGGAAGGAACATGCAAGACTTGCCACCCTTCATTCTTAGCATATTAACTTAGCATAAATTTTATCATTTTTTATTTTTAAAGGACTATGCCTGCTTTTAACATCAGAATGTGATTAACTGTTGGACATTTTCTATCCCTAGCTATGATAATATTAAATCTATATTCATTATTATCTTGGTCCCAACAACCGCTAGGAAAGTTACAGCATTAGGATCAGCAGGGGGGAACAAAAAAAAAGAACAACCAACAAACTACCACATTTGTCAAAGCAGGCTGTATCTAAACCAAAAACCAAACAAAAGGTTATAGTTTGTTTCTTCTGTGCAAGGCAAGTCCAGGGAGAGAAAAGAAAGGAGCTGCTATGAAGTTTTTCAGTGACAGGAAAGAGATTTTTTTACTTTTATAGTAAAAGATCCAGTTTATCATTTCCATGGTGTTCCATGACTGCAGGAAGTTTTCAGAATCGAAGGCTATGCACTGAATTCCCTCGGACAAAGGTAAACAAACTAGAAAGGTGCAAAAGAATTGGTGTTGCATGGGAAGTCATTACACACAAAAGTCAGTTAATAACTTGTGCACGCAACTGCAACAATTACTTATGCTAAACTACATGCGTAATTGTTCCAGAGGTCTCTTCTGATGAGACTTGGTTTGTTTTTTTTTTTAATGAAGCCTGCTGAAACAGCACATTTTATTACAGAAGATAGGATTGATTTTTTTTTTTAATCTTACTAATGCTTGACTATTTGGAAGTTCTATTTGTCAGAGACATAGAACAATATGATTCCAAACTTAGACCCCTGATCACACCTACTGTCAGACAACGCCAGTCCAGTGATATGCAGCAGCTCATTAAACCGAAGAAACGTAACTGCTGCTGACCAGCTGTCTTCCCATTTTCACGCTTTTAAGACATAAACTACCTAGTCCTAAACAAGTTTTACAGTTTATATTGCAAAACTGGTACTTGAGAAATGCTCTGCAATTCACAAAGCTACTAGAGCTTCCTTAATCTTGCGAGAAAAATAAGACCTTGTTTGCCCTAGAACACAACCTATTGACCATATGATAGTGAGAACTGTCTCCAGAATGTTAGTGTAAATTTCTCTTCTACAAGTTAGCAGACATTGTTCATGTTTTTCTGCAACTTCAATACAACTACAGAATGCATCTCCATGCTTCAGCTAAAGCAACACGTGCAGGATGTGTTACTTACCGCATCACTGCAAAGAGAAGTTAGTTAAGCCCTGCTCATGCAAAATTCATACCTGTTGATTGTCCATCACCTCCAATTTCTACTTTGAGTATATGTAAAGAAGCACCAAAACTTGGCTAGAAAAAAAGAGCGGACAGAAAAACAAACAGAATCCTGCTGTTAACAAGAAGAATGCAATTAAAGTACAATTTTGAGGATGCTAAAAATTCAATACATTTTTTAAACACCTGTTATAGATGCCATGAGAGATTATACAAAATTCTTCTTCAAAAGTAAACTGAGCAAGACAAATAGTACTTATCTTTAGTCAGTTTCACTGACTGGCACCATTAACAACACTTCTCCCCAGCTGTGCACATTTTACATTGCTTACACTCAAGAAAATACTGAAGTGCTCTTGAAGTAGAACATGGGCTACATGAGGAACACAACGGTATTTTTAATGTTGCTAGAAGTCAAGTTTGTTTTCTTTTAAAATGAAATTATTTAAGTTAATATTTCTGTAAGTAATTTATTCTTTGATGTGAATGGTTACACTGCTTACTTGAAAGAGGATACATACAGGTCAGAAATAATCTGCTAACTACAGGTGGAAAGGCAAAAGAGAAAAAAAAACCCACCACACTGGAAAACAAATGGCCATCTAGTTCGCTACCCTCTTCCCCTGGCATCTGACTGGTGCAGCAGAATATAAAATTCAAGCTCATACAGGTGATCCCAATCCCAGTATGTCCTTCCAGCCATTAGTGGCTTAAGAGTTGCTCAAGCCAGAAGTTACAACTAATCATTATTTTAATAAGCACTAATGAGCTGGCCTCCTCCATGAAATTACCCAAGTATAATTTGGGCATACAAAAAAAAAAAAGTTTTAAGATTTGAGAATGCAGTTTGATTAAGAAAATAGGCTGCATAGACAATAGTTTGCTTGGCTTACAAATTTTGGATTTTTTTACTTTGTTTTTAAATAAGAAGCAAATATTCCCAATTTACCATTTCTTTTTCTAACATTTCTCATTTTAAACTTCTAACACATTTGCTCTCCCATCCCTATCATGAAAGTTGACATTAAAAGACAAGGAGAATGAGGCAAGGTATACCCCTCCCAGGTATCTCATGACGGCTTAAGAGATTTTGGTGAAAAAACATGTCAAAAATTATTTGAAAATCATGATCTCTCAGCTAGATTTTCTTTTACCACATGCCTAGTGATTCCTTCAGAAAACTCATATTTGTAACACACAGCTTTGGTCTCCAGAAAACATAGGTTTTGATCCCCCAGTCACACATTATGCCTTACTCTATCCTTTAAAACCAATTCTTTAAACTACACAGTAAATTATTCCCCTCCAGCCATCTGGATTACACTACTTGAAAGTGACATGACATTCTCTTCCAGCACAGTAATTTACAGTGCCAAAAGCAAAACAAGTTATCACTGTCCAGTGTCATAATCTTACCATATATTGAGTTACAGGTTATACTCGCTAACTAAAGCAGCTTACAAACCAGTAACATTCAACCACCTTCTAGAGTAACCGCACTTATACTTGGGACTAGTTTGAAATACATACGCTATTAAAATGATGCAGTCATTATCACATTATGTGAATCTATCTGTGCTCCAAAAAAGTCAAAACTGTCTCAAAGACCCACTTCCTGCAATCACTATGAACAGCTAAACCCCTCATTTTAGCCACAAAAATTATTTAATCCTCATTAAGCCTACACGGATGATGAAAATATGTTGAAAACATTTTTTTTTAAAACATATTGTGAAAACATAAAGGAAATTTCATAATCATTTGAAGAAATAGGCTCCTGAACAACACGCTAGTTGTCAAAAATGACCGCTAAAACTTAAGGTTCTGATAAAAATCAATATTAAAGTAGATGCTTTACAAGATGAGATTTTGTCTAATTTCAGCTAGTACTGAATATACTATAGGAGTTCCAAAATTACACAATAAGAAATTCTGCATGAAATTGGACATTATTGTAGCAGCAAAACCAACTTTACCTTGAACAGATAATCTAAAATCTGGGAGCGATAAGGTTCTTGGTAGTTCACCAGAAGTCTAGATGTGGCCTAAAATGGAAAGAAAACATGAAAATATAAAAACCGAACTTTCAAAACATGTAAGTACATCCCTGTTTGTCAGTCTAGGACCTTCACATAGCTAATAAACCTAGAAAAATAATTATAGCACCAGGAACGCAGCTAAGCCCCTACAAAAACTCTTTTCTAAGCCTTCAATTGTGCATTTCTGGTTTTGCAGATTGCAATCGCCTTGTACTCCAGTTACCTGCAATTTACTGCAAAGAGTCGAGAGAATAGAGAAACAAAGAGATCTCACAGCCTTAGCGCAAGCAAAACACAGCTCCCTCCCAGCACCATTTCACCCGCTACACTGGAATCTCCCCGCTTTGGCTCACTGTAGACCAAAGGCAACGGGAGCTCACGGGCCACACAGGCAGGAGGGCAAGGAAAGCAACTCAGCAGGTCCAAGAGGGCGTAAAAACAGGCAGGATCTCACAGCTCTGCTGGCTGGACCACAGGAAAGCATACGACTGGCTGTTGGCTCCTCCAGCATTTTGAAACTCATAGAGACAAGTAGCTAGGAAGACCCTCTACAGAAAAAAACCACCCTGGCTTAGCTCTCCTCCAGTGGCACCGAGGACGTGGCTGGCCCTCGGCACCCCGAGCAGCCTGATGAGAAAGAGCCATTGCGCAGCTGAGCGGAGGACAGGCACAAAGCAGGGCCCGGCTCCAGCTCTCCTCGCAGCCAGGACTGCCCGCACAGCTCTCCTCAGGGTCTCCAGGACTCCCCCTCAGATCCCCACTCGCGTCCCCCCACGCCCCCCCTCCGGTTCCCCTCACAGTT